ACTCTAACCTTAACCCTAAACTTGCTATCAGACACAGACTTAAAGTGAATGATTACGTTTATTGTTTTGAATTTGTGCAGCCAGTATTCATTTTAGAATTGGACAGTTGATAAGCTAAAACACAAACCCAGGTTTTTTTTCTGCCAATTAGATAACAATAACTTGCACTTATGTAGCACTCTTCATGCAGAATAGTGTCTCAGAGCACTGGGATTGGACACTGAGTAAGGGAGAAGGGAGAGAGGGAGGTGACTGTAGGCGTAACAACACAGATCCAAAATTGCTCACATTGCAGAATTTATGCTTTAATATCAAAAGCATCAAAGCATTTAAGAGGAAACTCAATGCATACATGAGAGAGAATACAATAGTGGCGTACAGGGGGAGGTATCGAGGGGGGAATAAGATAGATGGAGGATTATGTGAAGTTAAACACTGGCACAGACTAGTTGGGTCGTGTTGATGCTGTACAGTCTATGTAATTCTACAAACTGGTTAGAGGCATTCAATACTTAGAATACCGAATTTATGGAAAAGATTGTTTTCAGGTGTCAAGGAATATAATCTTTTCCTGATAAGATTTCAAGTGTTTCTGCCAAAGGAGTTTCATTGCCCCTTATCCTCCTTTATTCCCTGTATAGATCATGCCTAGGAAGGCTGTGTGTGTAACCTTGCAGTGGAGGTATACATGCAGCAGTTAAATGAACGCATATGGTAAGTGCAGCCCCCAAAGGAATAGAAAAGTACACCTGCTTAAAATGTTCCCTGTTGTGGATTACTTTTAAGTGTCACAAGTTCTGAACTTTAAAGAGCCAGATTTTCCTAATGCATTGACTGATTAAATTGATTTAAGAAACATTCACAATCTGGGAAATGAAGGATTTGAAAGAATGTTTCACTGTTTATCAATCTGCTCCTCTAAAGCAACATTGTTCGTATATCATACTGTAGCGTTCCTTACCCTCTCCCTCTTCTTTCGAGATAATATTTAATTGGAAGCAGTCATTTGTTTAGGCAAATAAATCCATTGAGTTGGTCTGCAGTACATTTCCATCTTATTTGAATGTACCTGTTGGAATCTATGGGTGAAAAATGTGATGTTTTATAACACATACAAAGTGATTATTGCCACATTGAACGTCCTAGCCAATGGCATCAACCTCTTTCTTTCCTCCAGCATGGTATCTCTCACTTTCAAAACCATCATCATATCGCTTGTCAAAACAACAATACTAAACCCTTCCAACCTCTCTAGTTATGTCTCTGACCACACTCTCTGATCTGCCACCTCCAGCTTGCTTCATGTCCCTGCCTGTTCTGCCCCATGGTGAAGGGGTGAGCATTCAGCCAGACACTGCCCACTGTCTGGAACTCGCTTTTGAAGCTTTAGTTCTCAGCAGTGAATCACAAATCATCAGTGATTTTGGAAGCAAATGAACACTTGAGTCCAGTGATCATAGGAACAGGAGATCATTCAGCCATTCAAGCCAGTTCCTCTTTTAGATCTGTAAATCTCAATGTCCCGCTCTTTCACCAAATTCTATTTTCTAGTATCTATCTCTCTTTAAACCATCCCTGTTGATTCCACCTCTACAAGTGAATCATTGTATAACTAGACTTAATACTATATCAAACATTAAGATTTAAAAAAANCTAAATAATGCCAACTGTCTTACTATTATTAAAAAATAAGTGATACATCTGTATATATGTGAAAGTACTATATTACGTGACATTTTATTACTGATTATCTTGAATCTGGTTAGGCCTCAGTTGGAGTACTGTGTCCAATTCTGTAAGGGTTGTAAGTAGCAATACGATACTTGTTTTTTTTTAAGAAAGTACTTGATAAAGTTCTACATGTGAGACTTTTCAAGAAGGTTAAAGACAATAGAATGAATGGCAAATAGTTACCAGGTGAATTGAACTCTGCTTTAACAATAATAAACAGAAGGTGATAAATAATGGGGAAAGCTTCATGGGGAGCCTGAGATCCTACTTTTCATACACTCCTTATAAAGCAGTATTTATTATTTATTGGGTCTAGTTTGTGGATTCAAATAACCAAGTGCTAGTGCATATAGAAGTCAGCAATTCCAGATAATATAATATTCTTTTATATTTGTTTATTAATGATATCATTAATAGGATTTGTATTTGAACATGGTTAACCCAAGCCATACTTTTTGGGCCTGTATTGGTAATGAGATCTACACATTCGTCCTCAGTATAACATTTACTGCTCAAACAAAGCAGATCAATAATATAAGGAGGAAAAATACCATTCAGGTAGATCTGAACTGATTCAGGAGAAGGATTGTTATGTACATAAATGAAAGGTAATGCATATGAGAGAAAGAAGATTTTTTAATTTTATTTCTCACAGAGATTGGTTATGTAAAAATTAATTCTTGGTAAAGCTGTCAATGGTGTTTCGATCACCTGCTAGAAAATAAACTTGAATGAATATCTGCTGGAGAACAATATTGAAAGATACAGAGAAAAGATTAGACTTAGATAAATAAATACTCCAAGATTCACAATGGTTTTTATGTTCCAGAGGCAGGGGAGGGTAAATGTGGAGGGAAAGAGGACAGATTTGAAGCTTGAATGTGGTTACATTTTCTACAATATTTACTTGATAACTTTTGGGCTTCAGAAAGTTTTTATGGAGAAATTTTACCCAGAAGATTAGAATGGTAGATAGGATAAGTTTCTGTAGCTTGATGGGCTGAATGGCCTTAACAATAATAATAATCCTTGTATTGTGGAGTCCTGTAGCTTGGTGGTTAGAACACTTGCCTCGCAAGCAAGGAGACCTGGGTTCGAATCCCGGGCTGGGTAAAACGTAATGCAAGTTTCCTTACTCCACATGCCTCTATTTACCTAGCAGCAAGTAGAAACCCGGATGTCAGTCGATTGGCAGATCAATTTTCCGGGGGCAACAATTCCTTTAAAAAATGAATCAAGAATAATAATAATGATTTGATAACTCAATCCACGACTGTTTGGGGTATACTGCTGTGCGCAATTGTTTGCCGCATTTCGCCCACAAAGTATACAGTTAATTCACATTAGAGTATATACTCTGAAGGGCTTTGAGACATCTCGACAATGTGATGTTTCCTCTGGCTGGTTTCCCTCTTTCAAGCACCTCACCCTCTATTGTTATGAGGTAGCACGGTGGCAGGCAATGTGATGGAGGTGGAAAAAAAGTGGTCCTTGTCAGGGAAAGGATATGGGGTAGAAAGAAAAGCTGGGGATTGAACCTGATGCCTAAGTTGTGCAAGCGCTTTGGCAAGTCTGAGGGAGAGCCTGGGGAGGTTAAGGACTATGAAGGGGCATGTAGATAAGGCTATAACCTACTGACTCAGAGGTGAGAGTGTTACCAACTGAGACAAGCTGACACCTTTTCTCATTCCAGGCCTTGTGTTCTTACCAATGGAGGCACTGCTGCTTAATATGATGAAGGCTAAGTCTTAGATACAGCATGAGTGATCCAAAATAATTCAAAGTGACAAATGACATTCTGTACATCTGCGACCAGGGCTCCTCGTCGTCCTCCTTGACCTCTCTGCTGCTTTCGACACCGTCAACCACTCTATCCTCATCCACCACCTCTCCTCTCCCCTCAACCTCCACGGCGCTGTCCTTGACTGGTTCAGATCGTACCTCTCACACACTTCATCTCCTCAAATGGCTTCTCCTCTAACCCCCGAACCATCTCGTGCGGCATTCCTCAGGGCTCTGTCCTTGGTCCCCTTCTCATCAACATCTATATGCTTCCTCTTGGTGACATCATCCGCAGACATGGGGTCAACTTCCACATGTATGTGGATGACACCCAACTGTACCTCTCTGCCTCCACCCTTGACTCTAGGACCACTGCTGTCAGACATCAAGTCCTGCATAAGGACTAACTTTCTTCAGTTGAACGTCAACAAGACCGAGGCTCTCCTGATTGGCTCTCGTCAGCACCTCCTCACTTCAGGTGCTAATAGTATCACCATTCATGGTTGCACACTCCACCTTGCTAAACCAGTCCGGAACTTTAGGGTCTTGTTCGAACCTCAACTATCCTTTCTACCCCACATTCGTGCCATGACCCGCTCTGCCTTCCCCCACCTCTGCAATTTTGCACGGCTCCACCACTGTCTCACACCGCAGGCCGTTGAAACCCTCATACACACCTTCATTACTTCGTGGCTCGACTACGCAAACTCACTGCTTGTCGACCTCCCCAACTCCTCCCTCCACAGGCTGAAGATCATCCAGAACTCTGCAGCCCGTCCTCTCCCTCACTAGGCTCCGTGACCCTATCACCCCCATCCTTGCCCAACTCCACTGGCTTCCCATCACACAGAGGATACAGTTCAAAATCCTGGTCCTCACCTTCAAAGCCCTCCATGGTCTTGCTCCCCCCTACCTCTTCAACCTCCTAACCCCCTACCATCCTGTTCGCTCCTTCCGCTCAGCGGGCTCTGGCTTGCTTCACATCCCCTGCCTTGCTCGCCCCACTATCGGTGGGCGGGCCTTCTGTCACTCTGTACCCACTCTCTGGAACTCCATCCAGCAGTCCCTCCATCTCGCCCCCTCCCTCACCACCTTCAAGATCCACCTCAAGACCCTCCTCTTCGATCGTGCTTTCGATCTCCCTGCTTCCCACCCCATCCTCCCTCTCCCGCACCCCGACCCTCAGCTCGGGTCTGAAACTCTGTCTGTGCCGTGCCTTGGGACGTCCTCCCGACGTGAAAGGCACTATACAAATGTCATTTTGTTGTTGTTGTTAAGATAATCAAAGCTGCTATTCATTGGATGTTTTGAGATTGACCAATAGTGGAAACAAACCAATGTTAATACTAATAAACCAGCAACACCATGACTCAAGCTATCATCATCCTTGGTTACATTAGTTGCATTAGCATCAAACATTAGGTAAATATTGTCCAATTAATACTTCACATTGAATTGAATTTGATTACTGAATAAATGTTACTCACCCCAGGCTCCCCAATGAGATAATGTTTTTCATGTATATTTTGCTTCTCAGATGTCTAATATTCTGTAAGACATGATGTTTGTTCATGTTTTTTGCCTGTAACACAGAACAAATCACAATATTTAAACATACTTTCATATTTGCTGAAAGAAGAATAAGCATTATTGTTGTGTGAGTGGACAGATTCGAATGAGGGTACTTGTTCACATAGATTCCTTGAGTTTCTATGTTCACCAGAACTGTGATACTCATTCTGATCTCCTTACTTTTTTCACATGCTCTCTCAACTCCATGCTTTCAGAGTCCCGTAGCTTAGTGGCTCGAGCACTTGACTCGCAAGCAAGAGGACCTGGGTTTGATTACTGGGCAGGAAAAATGTGGGGAACGTTTCTTTATTCCACATACCTCTCTCTGTTTATCTACCAGTAAGTAGGAACCCAGTTATTAGTCGATTTGGCAGATCACTTTTCCGGTGGAAATAATTCCTTCAATTTAAAAAAAATTATTTGGTCACTCAATCTAGGACTGTTTGTGAGACACTTCTGTGCACAATTGGCTGCCGCGTTTCGTCCACAAAATACACAGTCAATTCAGTTTACAGTATATTCTGTGAAGCGTTTTAGACATCTTGAAGACATAATAAGGTGCTATATTAGATGTAAGGATTATTATTATTAGCCCTCTACCATTTTCCCTTTGTAATGGTTAAGCCTCGGCACTTTTTCTGTGACCGCACATTGAGTACAGTTAAATTTATAAATGTTATCTTCTGAAAAAACGTACTGACAGAGAAATGTCAGTATTACGTCAGTATTGTGAAAATAGCAGGTTCCGAAAATCTCGCTGAATATGCTGCAATGGGATGAGTCAATCTACTTCTTTCTTTCATTTTGCTGAAGCTATTCAGATATACAAAAGATATCGAAACCAAAGAGATGCAGTGCCTAGGCTAAGTATAAATGATAAATGTAAAAAATCAGTTCCCTGCATGGACATCGCTGTTAAAAGAAAAATGGTTGATTTCACTACTTAATGGAAAAAAGCTACACATAACTTCTTGGCACATGTGTTCCTCTCATTGCAGAGGCTAGTTTCCTTGTGGAGCACTGCTGCTCCTCAATCATATATAGAGTAGGTAGATCTCTGTTCAGTTTTGTATGGGATTGATTTAACAATACATTTGATATTTATGACACTTTTTGAAGGCAGATCAAAAACAGATCTATGATAATAATAAGAACCTAACAGCATAAGAATTTGCTGGTGAAAGAAGACCAAAGTCCATCTCGTTTGCCTTCCACCATCCTGGCAGTCATTTGACATATTGTGTCCCAAACTATATACTGTATCCCAAGATATTACTTTCGGGCAGAAATTTATCTAAGTTGTTCTTGAAACAAACAACATTGTCTGTTTCCACTGTCTTCCTGGGGAGTCTGTTCCATAAGTTTACCATACACTCACTGAAGTCATGCTTCCACAGATATTTTTCTGAATTTATCCCCTTTCAATCGCAGGCTGTGTCCTTTGGTTCTACTGTTCAGTACAGGATAAAACAGCTTATCATGGTCTACATTGTCTATTCCCTTCAGATTCTTAAAGACCACAGTCATATCGCCCCTTAACCTTCTCTTCTCCAGTGTGAACATGCCCAGTTTATCTAATCGCTCCTCGTAGTCCAGTCCTTCCATCCCTTCAATCATTTTGGTTGCCCTCCTCTGTATCCTCTCAATTGCTGCAATATCATTTTTATGTTGCTGTGACCGGAACTGCACACCGTATTTCAAGTTCGGTCACACCAGTGATTTATAAAGAGGCAGGATTACCCCACTATTTCGGCTCAATATAGCACTTTTAATACAACCCAGTATCTGGTTTGCCTTACTCACTGGTACTGCGCACTGTTGTGATAGCTTCAATTTATTATCAATCAGGACCCCAGGTTATCAATACGGTATTACCAATCACGATCACTTTTCATTTTCTGTGCAGATTTTTTCTTACCATAAATAATAGTCCCTTCCTGGATTTTTTGTCCCCATGTGAAGCACTTTGCACTTTCTCTACATTAAATTTCATCTGCCATCGATCTACCCAATTCCCAAGAATGTTCAAGTCCTCCTGAAACGTATCCTGTTCATCTTTGCAGTCTACCACCTTCATTAGATTTGTGCCATCTGCAAATTTAGCTACTGTGACTCCTAGCTCCAGATCATTTATGAAGATGTTAAATAAAAGAGGTCCCAAAACAGACCCTGTGGAACTCCATTGGTAACATTCTCCTGCCTGATGACATTCCCTGTACCACCACCTTCCAGGTTCTATTGGTCAGCCAATTACATACTGTTGCAAGATACTTCTGCTGGTTGATGCTTTCTTTATTTTCAGTATTAGCCTTTCATCAGTAACTGTATCAAAGACCTTACTGAAATCCAGATATACAACATCCACTGCCTTAACCTTATCAAGCTCCTTTGTTACACTGTCAAAGAAAACCAGTAAATTAGTTTGGCAGGATCTCCCCTTCATAAACCCATATTGGGCTATCTTTTATTATTTTAATACTGTCCAGATGCTCTATGATTTTATCTTTAATAAGTATCCATAACTTTACCTACAATGGATGTCAAACTCACTGGTGTTCCTGGGTCACTTTTGCTACTTGTTTTAAAAATAGGAGTAACATCTAGCTTTATCTCCAGGCACCTTTCAGTATCTAGTGATTTCTGAAAAAATTGTGCCAGTGTTTCTGCAATTTCCTCCCTTAGTTCCTTGAGGATCCTTGGATGTTATTTATCCGATCTTTGGGATTTCTTTACCTTCACAGTGTTCGGCAATCATGCTGCTAGTGATATGTATAGTGTCACAACTCTCCTCTGCAACATCATTGAGTTCGTTTTCCTGATCCAATAAAATTTCCATCACCTCTTTACTAAAAATTGTGGCAAAAAATGTATTGAGTACTTCTGCAGCTTGTGTGGCATCATTTGTCATATCCTCACCCGATCCCGATCCCACCATCAATGGCCCTATTCCATCCCTCATTTTCTTTCTCTCTTAATGTATCTGAAAAACTTTTTATTGTTATCCTGCACATCTCTTGCCATGTTCAGTTCAAAATGTTTCTTTGCTATTCTGATACCTTTCTTACAATCATGCTTTCTGGTAATGAGTGTATCTTTCCTCTGTGCCATTTGCTTTCATGTCCTTAAATGCCTTTTTCTTCCTCTTTAAGAATTGATTTGTGGCCCCAGCCAAACAGGCAGGAGTGCCCTTAAAGTTGGTACCTTTGCTTTGCATGGGTACACATTGGTCCATCGCACTCCAAATCACCTCCTTGAATGAGCTCCATAATTCCTCTGCTCCCTTAACCAAACTCACTGGTGTTCCTGGGTCACTTTTGCTACTTGTTTTAAAAATAGGAGTAACATCTAGCTTTTTCTCCAGGCACCAGGCACCTTTCAGTATCTAGTGATTTCTGAAAAAATTGTGCTAGTGTTTCTGCAATTTTCTCCCTGAGTTCCTTAAGATCCTTGGATGCTATTTATCCAGTCCCTTAACTTGCCAGGCCTTCTCTGGCAAGATTTTTCAATTGCCTAAAATTGGTCTTCCTAAAATTTGGCAATTTTGTTTTCGTTTTTATAATGTCACCAATCTGTGTAATACCAAATGTGATAACATCATGATCACTGTTGCTTAAATCCTCACCCACCTTTGTGTTGGAGATTTGATCGTCCCCGTTAGTCATAACCAAATCCAAAATGTTATTTCCCCTTGTTGGCTCCTTTACAAATTGAGTCATAAAACACTCTTCCTTTATCTCTATAAATTCCTTCCCTATCTTACCAGTAGACATATTATTATCCTAATCATTTTCTGGTAAGTTAAAATCTCCCACTAATATGGTTGGGCCCTTGCTAGTCGCCTTCCTTATCTCATCCCACAGTTCCAGATCAAGGCTGTCACCCTGGCCTGGGAGTCTATAGCAAACTCTCAATAATAAATTACCTCCGTTACCATCTATTAATTCTACTCAAAGTGATTCTGTGGCTGCCCTTGCCTTTTTTATATCCTCTATACTGGAGTTATATATGTTACGGTAAAGTTGTGAAACCAGGGATTTTGTGAAATTCCTGAAATTTTCAATAAAATTGTGAGTCAGGGATTTTGTGAAAAAGTGATTATTTCATCATATTGATAACCTGGCTTTGACACTTGTTTGCATTCTCAACAAATAAATAAATTATGAAAATTAATAGTTTATTCACCATAACTTCATGTGACATTTCATTCACTGATGAATCAAATGTTCAGCTATATCAAATGCAAGGATTATTATTATTTACTGACACAGGTGAGGCTTCCATGACACCAGGAGTTACATTTTAGCTTTGCTTTGAAGCACTTAAAATAGTTGGTCTGACATTTCTTCTGACCGCAGATCCAATTCATGAAGCCTTGCCCACCATAAACAGACTGGGCAATGACAGCTTCACAGAATGACACTGACTTCTCCTGGTTGATGCAGGTCTCTGTTAACAAACTTTGTAGGCAGAGGTCAAATTGGTTCCTGGAATAGTGATCCCTCAGGATGCCGGCCTTCAATGTTATCTTATACTGGTCAGTGTCTAAATCTCTATTAATTATAGCACCAAGGATGTTCCTGGAATCCTCTGTCCACTGCTGGAATCACTTTTTTCACAAAATCCCTGACTTCTAATTTCAGTGATTTCATGATTTCACAATTTTACTCAAAATTTCAGGGATTTCATGATTTCACAATTTTACTCAAAATTTCAGGGATTTCACAAAACTTTACTGTAACATATATACTGCCATACCACCTTCTCTTCTCCTGATACAGTCCCTCCTAAATAGTGTGAATACTTCCAGATTTTTATTCCCATTGATTGCACCATGTCTCTGTCATACTAATGATGTCCAATCTGTCACCCCTTTCAAGACCTTCCAAGTCGCATATCTTGTTGGCCAGACTTCTTGCATTAATGCAAGCACAGCTCTATTGTTTGTAGCCTTTCCCTTTTTACTTTATTAGCATGATTAGTTTCCTTATCTCCCACCAATTGAGTTAGACCTATTATGCTTTGGTTTCTGTTTCCACTGGTAAACTTTAAGGTTTCCCCTAATGGTTTTGGTGTCCTCTTACACCTACTGCAACCATCTTGCCATATTATCTATCCTGCCTGCCAACACATATTCAAGACTGAGATAGATAGATTTCTTATTGCAAAAGGGATTAAGGGATATGGGGATAAGGCAGGGTCAGGTTATTAGCTGGAGTTAGATTAGAAGATCAGCCATGATTGAATGGCGGGGCCAAATGGCCTACTCCTGCTCCTACATGTTATGTTAACGCCTCCACCCCCTTTTTGTTCAGGTGGAACCCATCTGGTCTCTATAGGTGCCCCTATTCCACTGTCTGAGGAACCTAAAACCTGATTCCCTACACCAATGCTTTAGCTGCGTACTGGTCTGTCTTATTACCCTCTGTCTCTCCTCACTAGCACGTGGTATGGGGAGTTATTCTGAAAAAAAACTACACTTGAGGTCTTTCCCTTAAGATTCGTTCCTATTACCCTGAATTTACCATGTAAGACTTCTGGTCTACTTCTATCTATGTTATTTATTCCCATATGGACGACCACAATTGGTTCCTCACCTGCTCCCTCTAGTATTTTGTCAACCCAAGACATCAGATCCTCAACTCATGCACCCGGAAGGCAACTTACCATTCAATTTTCTGAGTCCGGTTTACCCAGAGTTCTGCCTGCGAACCAAACAGTCGAATCGCCTAACAACACAACTTGTTTGGTTTTCTTTCCCTTTTCCTCTCCTTCTCTGACAGCCTGCTGGATGGTCTTGGGGGATGGCACATAATAATCCTTGCATTCTGGTATAGTTCCCCACAAGAAGCCATGAAGTGAATAAGCAATATTTATGTGGTAGATTGTTGGCCAGAAAACTCCCTTCTCTTTTCAAGTAGTGTCATGGGATATGCAGGGAGTCATGAGACAACTTGAGTAATTGCTCAGCCCATATTGCCCAGTAGACGTTTAACAAAGCTTAGAACCAGCTCAATTTCTTGTTAACATTTTTAACTTCCGTTTTTGAGGAAGGAATAACTAATTGGCAGAAATTAGTGGTGTATGTTGTTATAAATTATCACCAGTGCTAATCATTACATTATGGGCTGTTCCTCTCATCCCATCACCTTGGGACGTCCTCCCGACGTGAAAGACGCCATACAAATTTAATTTTGTATTGTATCCCCTCTTCCAACCACCCCACTCCACACCTCCCCACCCACATATACACGCACACTTACATGCACCTCGTTATTCATGGCACAATCAAATGAAATACTTGAGGTAAATTTGCAACACTCCATGACAAATATGAACAGAGAAGTTGATGACTCAGATGACTCAGGGATAAAATAAATAATAATAATAAATTGCAGATATATAGCATCTTTCACATTGAGAGGACGTCCCCAAGGCACTGGACAGTCAAAGGTTTGCACCCAAGCTGGCGATTGAAATAAAGAGGAGTGGACTGCAAGGGGGATTGGGGGAGGATGACCCCAGGCAAGGACAAAGAGGAAGGTCTTGAGATGGCCCTTGAAAGAGCCAAGGGAGCGGAAAAAGCAAAGGGATTACAGAAGGGAGTTCCAGAGGGGACTAAATAAATAAGTAGACCATGAGAGCATCTCTTTGCTGGTCAGGGCTGCATTACATTGTTTTTGTAGCAGGTACTTGAGACTCCTATTGACTGATTTGCTATTTGTGATGCAGTGACAACAAGGAACATTCTGTCACAGCAATGTAGCATCAGAAGCATGAAAGCAGAACATGATTTATCAAGGCGATGAAGAACCTATATCTGTCATTCACAGCAAAGCCAATTCAGATTTATTGGGTGTCTGTGTCCCATTTTCCCCATTTCTTTCAGTCATTATACCTCTCTGCACCATAACAACCAGCATGGAAAACAAGCAAATACGCCTCTGAGATTTTCACGGCTGATATCTATATTAAGCAAAGGATCAGTCAACAGCACTGTGCTAATGAAAGCCATCTCATGTGTAATGGAGGACAGGAGTGTTCTATCAGCCCAGTCAAAGTAAGCAGTGTGTTGTAGCAGCGACTATTCTGTTAGTTCAATACTGACTGTTTATTTTCCAACAGTATGTTTTATTTTAACTGCTGAGGGATTTCTCTTAGGAACACAGGAACATTAAATATGCAGGACACATATACAGTATGCATGTTAATTTCTAATTACATGGAGAATAATGATCGCCTTGGAGTGACTGCAGGGCGATCTAATCAAAAGGTTCAGGTGACATCACAAACCACAAAAGCAGAGTTCACAACCAACATCTAACCCCACAGATTAGATCTTAGCCTCAAAACCATTCCCTGGTGTCTGCCATTAGACAGAACAAATATTCCCTCAATTTCACGCATGGAGTTTGTTCTCATTTCTGCCAGTTTCTGTGCTGTTGGTACTGTCTGTTGGAAAATAAACAGTCAGTATTGAACTAACAGTATAGTCGCTGCTGCAGCACACTGCTTACTCTGATTGGGCTGATAGAACATTCCTGGCCAGTGTCAGTGTGCTCGACTTCAACTTAGACATTCACACACAAAACCTAACAATTGTGGCACAGTTTTGCAGTTTCATGGAAAAATAATGTTGCATTTGATTCCACGTCCACTTATACCACTACATATGTGATATCCTCCAACATTTCTGAATGAATGGCATGCTCAGGTAACTACATGCGTGTCATGACCATTATACTGTCAGGGGAATTCCAATAATAATAAGATTCATCCCTACAGTAAGCGGTTAGTCAAGCTTTTCCCTTTTGTGATCTCTTTGTTACCTACATTGTCCTCATGCTATTATTTTAACATAAATGTGAAGGCTCTTGAACGTTGTGATAGAATACTGCTTATGTAGTGATTTTCTCAACACCTAGTCCATAGATAAGTGTAAGATAAAAAGTACCTAAGAAAGCGTTATAGTTTTGAAAAGTGCTCCCACATAATTTTTTTTCTTTTATGCAATTTGCATGAGACTTAGAGAACCAGTTTCTTTTCATTATGTTGGCTTGAAGCATGGGTGAATAGGCTTGAGGACGTGAACAGTGAGAGGAAATTGGCAACTGTGGGAATGTGAGTTGTTAGTCTTAGTGCAGACAATATCAGAATCAGTGAAGCCACATCCTTCCCAAGTTTTATCAAGAAGAGCTCCTTTTTTTTAAATCAGTTGTTTTCACAGCTGAGTCATTGTGGCTCACGTGTAGCAAAACCTTTTCCTTGGACGAACTACAAGAAATAACTAGATAAGCTCTTCTGTCTCATAAAGCAACTACTCTAAGAGGAACCTTTTAGAGGAAGATAAAATGGTAAATAGGTTTGAGAAAGTAAACCCTGAATATGTCAAGGCAGCAGCACGAGAGGATATAGGCGCAGTTAGGTTTGTGAAGGGCAATTTTAAGACAGACACAAAGTATTTATTGACACAGAGGGTAATAAACAGCTGCACTGGCTTTTCGCATACTCTGCTCATTTAACAAAAATGGGCAGATACTCTGGAAGGATGAGATCAAACAGACTGAATGCCTTTTTCATCTAAACCTATCCAATGATTGAATATATGGTATTTTCTGCCCGAATTCACAAATAGCTGCTGGTAAGTAACCAGAAGTGAGTCACACCAGCAACTCCGCGTTCCACTTCTAGGAGCGTTGGAGTGGAGGTCACATGGGTTGGCATGACACACTTCCTATTACAGACAATTAAGGAGTTGCTATTCGTGACTTGGAGTCATTAATTGCAAATACTGTACTGCATTTTTGAGGTCCCAGCCTATGAACTTTGTTTACAGCAGGTGTTTCTTCAAAAGGAAATGAATTCTGTGAACATCACTGGTTTACCTCTCTGCTTTGTGTCTGAATTTATTCCGCAAACTGCAAACTGAATACTGTGAGCAGCACTTCTCAGTGCATTGATTGATGCACTATCCAAATGGGAGAGTGATTTCATTGTCATTGTAGGAAACTATAACACAAACATACTTTTGGCTTGGCAAAACAAGATTTTGCTTAATGTCTCTGAACAACAAATACGTTGTAAATATGGCAACCAGATTACACAACAAACCAAAATGCACATTATTTCAACAATCAGAACACAATGTAGGCTAACCGAACTCACAGAGTGTGTTACAAGTCAGTAACCATCCTGGGACTCAGATAATACAGGGAAATTCTTAAGGAGTTCAAGAAGATTGTCTTGAGTCCCTTAGATCTGCATTTTTAATTTCCTTTAGTAGCATCTGGATTTACGGCATATTCGTAGTTTGAGGAATAATTTTGGACATGAAGCACAGAGCTGATCTAAAAACCTATGACTGCCTTGTGGCATAGACTGACAGCAGTGTTAAGAGTTTAATTCACAGTTTGGCACTAGAGTATGCCTTGAGTTTTCTACAATTCCAACTGACCTGGCCACTCCTTTCAGGACTCCAAGACAACAACAAAAATTGCATTTATATAGTGTCTTTCAAGTCTTCAAAATTAAACTTAAACCCTTCACTGTCCAGTGCTATATAAATACAATTTGTTGTTGTTCGTTGTTGGGAGGATGTCCCAAGGCACTAGACAGTGAACGGTTTGCACGCACCTAGGGTTGGTGTCAAGAAAGGTGGAAGGCAAGGGGGCTGGAGACACTAAACGTAGGAAAGAGACGCTATCTGAGTGAAGAGCACGACATAAATGTAAGTTGTTAAGTTGCTTTATTCCCACACCTGATATGCCCCACCATACGTGAGCAAGCCTTCAGTTATTCTGCCTCTGCTCTCCAGAACTCCAACGCATTCCCTCCCCACACGGATCGAAACGTACCTTTATGACCGCACGTTGGCTCATCTCAACCTCACCCCAACCCTCTTCAGCTCCCACTCTCCCCCAAGTTGGATGTTGAGTCAGCTGTACAAGGCACTTTGGGATATCCTCAAAATGTGAAAGAAGCAATACAAATGTAAATTATAGTGTATTGTGCAACACTTCATCAACCAAAACATCATCAGTTAGGCATGATTTAGTATAATGGTTCCACAAATGTTTTAACAAATGTTTAGGTTTATCAAACATCTGGTTAGGACGAGACAATTTGGATTTCGAATGCTGTCTAGAATTGACTAAAATGTAACTTGGACAATAAAAGGCTGTTTTTGTGAAATTATTTTATTTATCTTCCAATTTTCTCTCCTCTCCTGAAGGCATCATATTTGTTATTTAACCACCCACCTCCACTTCTTTTCGGCAAATGGTTTCTCCTCCCGCCCCTGCCTGGTCACCACTGGGGTAGCCCAGGCTCCATCCTTGGCCCCCTTCTTTTCCTCATCTATATGCTCCCTATTGGCGATGTCACCTGCAGACACAGGGTTAACTTCCACATGTATGCAGATGACACACAAATCTACTTTGCCTCCTTAAGTACCGATTCTAGGTCCACTGGTGTTCTATCAGCTTGTCCAGCAGACATCAGGGCCTGCAAGACACAAAATACTGCAGGTGCTGGAAATCTGAAACAAAAACAAAAGTCACTGGAAACCCTCAGCGGATCAGACAGCATCTATGGAGAAGGGAAAGTGAGTCAACGTTGCAGATCCAAGACCCTTCGTCAGAATAGGGTTTTGGACCCAAAAGGTTGACTCACTTTCTTTTCTCCATAGATGGTGCCTGACCTGCTGAGTGTTCCCAGCGACTTCTGTTTTTGTTTCAAACATCGGGACCTGGATGAGTGCAAACTTCCTGCAGCTGAATGTGGACAAGATGGAAGCCATACTCTTTGGCTCCAATCAATGTCTTCACTACTGCAGATCTAAACTCCTCAACCTTCCTGGACTCTCCTTCCTCAGACTCACTGAACCAGTGCACAATCTATGCGTCCGGTTCGACCCCCAGCTGTCCTTCTTCCCCCACGTCTGGTCCCTGACCAGGATGGCCTTCTTCCACCTCCATTATATTGCCCACCTCTGACCTTACCTTACCCCAAATGCAGCCAAAACCCTTGTGCATTCGTTTGGCACCTCCAGCCTGGATTATTCAAACGCACTCCTCGACGATCTCCCCAGCTCCACTATCCCAAAAATTCAGCTCATTCAGAACTCTGACGCCCGCATACTGACCCGGACCAAACTCCATACCCACATCTCACCAGTTCTGGCCAGGTTTCGCTTGCTCCCTATCACCGAATGGATCCACTTCAAGATCCTCACACTCGTGTTCAAACCTCTCCGACCTCCTCACTCCCCAATCCATCACGCAGCACCTCCACTCAACTGGCACCGGCCTCCTACTTGTCCCTCACACGCTCTGCTCTACCATTGGAGGTCGCGTTTTCAGCCACTAGGCCCCAAAACCTTGGAACACTCTCCCTCAATCCCTCCGCCTTGCCCCCTCTCTCCCCTTTTTCAAGTCCCACCTGAAACCTTCCTTTTCGACCATGCTTACAGTCACTTCCCCCTCCTACCAGTTCGGAGTCAGGCTCCGCCACTGTTAAGCGCTTTGAGATGCTACCCTGTGAGGAGGGCACTATATAAGTCCAAGTTGTTTTTGTTGTTCCTACTTGGGGATGGTTAGTGTACCCTAGTACAATACTGCCTGTCTGTCGATAGTTACAAACATGTTTGGATTACAATTTTCGATGATGTAATAATTATTGCCTGTGATAGCTGTAACACTGAATGGCATTTTTTGTTCCATAGTAGCAGCGGAATGAAATGTGTGACACGAGATGTAAATCACATCACCAAACATTGCAGTTTAAACTAATTGATTGTATTATTGACTGATTTGGGGTGCAAACACTTTTCTCCCAGCACAATGGTTTGGCTCGAAGCCAGGCTAAGCCTTCTACTGCCACGATTGTTGTTGACATCCATGGAACTCAGCTTTCACTGCTGCTCACAAGATTCAGTTAATCTCAGAGTCTCCAGACAGTAAACGGCTCTTTGGGTGATTCAGTAGATGCCTTTTATAAGGTTATTATTCACTTCTTGCACTTTACTTCTTATATAGTTCCAGAGTGATACAACATGGAAACAGGCCATTCAGCTCAACTAGTTATAATAATAATAAATAATAATCCTTGCATTTGATATAGCACCTTATCATGCCATTGAGACATCTCAAAGCGCTTCACAGAATATATTGTAAAGTGAATTGATTGTTTATTTTTTGGGTGAAACGCGGCAGCAAATTACGTACAGCAGTGTCCCACAAACAGTCGTGGAGATTGAATGACCAAATTATTTTTTGATGTGAGTCAAAATTTTAGCTGCACATAGCGTTCACAATTTTTACTCATAACGGTTTATATCTAAATACAGATATTCGTATATAGTTTATACCAGTGTTTATACTCCACACAAGCCCTTTCCCCTTTATTCCCCTTTATTCCCCTCTCGTGTACCGCTCTATTTCCTTATCCCTCATGTAAGCATCAAGTTTTCTTTTAAGTACATTGATACTATTTGCTTCAGCTTAGCTTCTGGCAGTGAGCACCACGTTCTCACCACCTTCTGCATGAACAAATTCCTCCTTCTTCTTATCAGTGTTTTTCTTCAACAATAACAAAAACAACAGCAAATTTACTTTTATATAATGCCTTTCAAGTTGGGAGGACCTCACATTGTGCTGAATAGTCCAGGGTTTGCACCCAAACTAGGAGTGGGAGCCAAAGGAGATGGGAGGGAGAGGGAGGAAAGATGACCAAAGTCTTGGACAAAGAGGAAGGTCTTCAGCGTCACAGTGTCAATTATCACATCATAGATCGCATTTTACTCTCCCAGAGTAACTGTTTTATTCACTTGTCGATTCACTGCTCCATCCTTGCTATCACTTTCACCATTATACTATTAAAAAGTGTTCTTTAGTTCAAAAGCTTAAGAGAAAATTTCAGAATATTGAAACATCTGCTAACATGAGTAAAAGCAGCAGGTGGTAACACCACCCATGAGGTTAAGCACATTGATGCATATTACTCTGGGATTGGTTTCATTTTATTCTAATATTGTTCTGCGTGCACTGCTGGAGACTCTACCTTCTGAGGGCAGGATTCTAGGCCATGATTAGGTCTCCTGGTGCTTGGAAGCTAAATCTATTTATCCTGTGGCATGAATAAGATTTACCTCACATTGGCCTTATGTTAGCTGACGCTAGAAGTCACTTCAGATTTTAATTGTACGAATTTTATTACCTTAATTGACCATCTGAACTTTCTTACCATTCTCCCTCCATTGACCAAACATGTCGCATGCGTTCCTCCCTCATTCTCACTATGTTGAAATTAACACTTGTCTTGCGCTCATACACAGTTTTTACGTCAAAATCGTAGAACTCCTTAAATCTCTCAGCATTCCTTCGTCATACAATTTAGAAACTTTTAACACAAGAGCGAGACAAGCAAACAATAAAGGTTTGCCACGTTACTTTGAATGAAGAGACACCCTTTCAACTTTCAAATGGAAATCAATCTCCAGTGCTGTGTATTGAAGAAGCCAAAAAGCTAAGTATTTAAGCCAATACAACTTTTGGATGTAATGACCTACTCATACTCAGCTTTGTGCAGTTAGTCTTTGGGGCAAAGGGCCACTTATTTTAATGATCCACATGTTGATTGTAGTACACGTGGAGTTCCCAGCCATCTTACACTGTCAGCCAGATTACACAACATAATCCTTGCTATCTATAATACTGGTTTAGAGGGAAGTGCATAGATTGTACTAAATTGCACTGCAATTTAAATCCAAAAATGCATAATTAATATTCTCCCATAATTCCATTTGGATTTATCCCTCCCTTCTGGTGACATAGTGCCCTCAAGCTGTGAACCATAGACTCTAATTCCCCAGGGCCTCTCTGTGGCACATCCAATAACTGACAGGCTAGAGTGGAGCATCATGTGAATACCTAAGTTATCCTTTCCTGTCCTGCTCTCATAAGAAGCAAGGCTTTTAAGCACAGCATCATTGGTTAAATTTGGTGCACAAAATGTATGCACACGTGAAGCTTTAGCAAGTGTAAGGCACTGCTATGACTTACCTCTGTCACAGCAAGATTTCCAGACAAATGCATTGCATACTTGGCCACAAATCTCTGTCTCCACTCTTTGTATCTTTCTTATATCTCTTGTCGAGGAAGCCTCTTTTTAAGGTGTCCATATATGCAAACAGAATACAGATTGATATGCGTATAAATAACTTAGGTAAGATACTGTGATACAGAATAATAAAAAGAGAGAGATGCTCACACAGTCACGTAGCACAGCCAAGAGCGATTGAATCTCATCACACATGTGAGAAGCAGGTGGAATGCAGATATGCAAAGTCTCACAGATTTCTGGAGAGTCTTATTGTTTGGGAGTTACGTTTGAAAACACCAAATTTGTAAAATGTACTCTTTCTTTTTTGCTTTGATACACAGCTTTGTGTTTTATCCTATTTTCTATAATAAAACTATATAAAGGGCAGTAATTCAGTGCTAACATTACTCTCAATGTTTGAAAACAGTGGTAAGAATGCTAAACATGTCAACCTTGTAAAACTGCAACACAACTTGCATTTATATTATGCCCTTCATGCAGGGATAGCATCTCGGAGCTCTGCGACTACACAAATAAAGTATTGTATGCTTAGGATGGTTCGTTCACTGTGCCCAATACAAATTATCCTGAAACTTGATGATTTTGGCAATGCTGGAGGAATCTTTGAAGGAAACTAATTCAGTTTGTCATAGAATCAAGTTACAGCATCTTATTGACTTTAATGATAACCATAAAATCTTTTGCATAACATCTATTTTCACCTTTGTATCCTGAAGGCACATTAGGCTGGAATTTCCATCTCATCTTAACTATAAGTCTTAAGTGTTAAGAT